TGGATTGTGACAGTTGCGTAGGAGGAGACGTGTGAACCCGAACTGCACACACAGTTTCACCATAATGGCAGCTCAAAATCTTCTTGAAACCTCTGGCAGGATTTGATAACATTGTATGGGGAAAAGTCATGGCTAGTATTAATTGCTAACAGAGTGACACCCGAATGAATTCCAAATGGGTTATAAACTGGCTATCGCAGCCTGTTTACTCCAATGCCACAATGTATTTAAAATGCCCTGTCAAGCTAAAAGGTTATGGGCGTGCAAAAGTACAGGAAACATAAATTGGTAATGAGCGCGGTAAATAAATTTTATTAGGAGTATGACAGTAAAGTGATCATTTTTTTCTAAAGTCCAAAAGGAATTAAACCGCAGCACTTAAACCTACTCAACAAATGTCAGTCTTAATATGCGAGCTCGCAGTTCTAAGATGGTTCCATACATTATCAAGCACGTACGTGATGGTGAAATTTCGGCAATATAAATTACTTTATGAAAGCGAAATCGAGTTTGTAAGGTTGGGAAAACAAAATTTTATTGCACGGGCAATCCGCTTACCCAAAGTTCATTCTGGTTTTGACTGCCAAATTGGCACCACGACGCATGGCCCACCTCAGAGACCACGGAAATTTTGCTGATAAAACTAAAGGCTGGTCTAAGTTTACTTTGCTAGGTTGCTAAAACCGAAGTTCAATTGGGATTGTAGTCTTGCCAAAGTCAAAAGAATGTTTTTGGAGTATTTACAAGTGGACTAAGTAAACCTGAAACTGATAGTACCTAAAACGTGACTGGTTTTGATTGCATTGTGGGTGAGTTGCAGCATTAAAAATAGTCCTGATTTTACAGACCGATTGTGTGGCTAATTAAATATGTTGGAGTAAAGATCGTTGGTAACCAGCAACACGCATTCCGGACACTTTCATTGGTATTGTTAGGCATCTATCAGATTACATTCTGTAGTTTTATTGTGTTTCAGCACAAACACAAGAGCCCAAGTGTGAAAGCACAAGTCAGATTAAAGTATCTTCTACAACGCCCCTACATTGATTCAATAAAAGCTTTTAACTAAAAGGAAAGCGAGGTCAACCCCCTGTAAATCAGGACACATTTTTAAGAAAAAAACAGCAACTGACCTTAGCAAACTGAAATCCAATCGGCTCACGAATAGACAGTCTAATTTCCGTAACATTTACGGAATCTACTGGAGGCAAGATGAATATTGGTGCATTGTCATTGACATCAGAGATGCACAGATTGATGGGAACTCGACTGACAAGACGTGGGCTGCCTAAATCCTGAGCCCGAAGCACAAATCGCAGCACTACGGTCTCAGCTGAGGCATTCATTAACGAAGTACCACCACCAATTACGGGAGGAAAGACAAGTGATTCTCTGTCGATTGGAGCCGCGGTGTATATTCGAACCTCGTAGGTGCTTCCGCCTGCCTCACCGCCGCTTGAATTGCGTCCATACAATCCATCAGGAAAGTGTTTCCTTACAGGCAGGGCTTCGACTCGTAAAAGGCTTAAGTGCTGACTGCTTATTTTTTCTCTATTTGGACGGACACTGGAAAAGAGTCGCTCCATATCAGCTTCTTTCGACCACTGAGTAACTTGCGCACCCTCCAGGCTAAATTCTAACTTAGAATTGGTGCCGAGATCAATGTCAAAGGCACGAACGATGCCTATTAACGTTCCCAAACGTGAATTCTCTTCCACTTGAAAATTGTATTCGTGGTGATCAAACTGCGGTGCATTGTCATTCATGTCAAGGATTTCAATTGTAACTTCAGTTTGACTTGAAAGTGGTGGAGTCCCCATATCACTGACAATAACTTTACAGCTTATGAAAGCGAATTTTTCGCGATCCAGTCCTCCTGTTGAATGCAGCATTCCTGTATCTTTGTCTAATTTAACCAAGTCAACGAAATTTGGTGGGCATTCGGAAGAGAATTGGTATTGTAATTTTGCATTCCGGTCGGTATCGTCATCACGAGCTTTAATTTGTCCAATCTGTTCTTGCTGAATGCTATTTCTAATAACACCAGCAGTGCTAGGGCTTGGATCTTCGTACACCCGAAAATGATAGGTGTCGTTTTCAAAGATGGGTGAACAATCGTTTACGTCAATAATGTGGATGGTTTCTTTTTGAATTGACCGCATGATTGGTTTCCCACCATCCCAACACTCAATTGTGAAGTGGATCTCAGGATGCTGTTCACGGTCGAATGATCGAGTTGCTAGTAGTTTATACTTTCGACTTGTGGTAACCTTGGGAGAATCATCAAAAGACTCCATTTCTGAAGTCATGGGGCGCAGTGAAAGAGCGCCTCGCACAGACTGTGATTTTAAGTGACACTTGACGACTGCATTTACTCCTGTGTCTTTATCTTCCACACTTAGAATCGCAACATCACGATCACTGGGTGAATTCTCCGTAAGAGTTAATTTTTTGGAACCAGTGGGAGAATATATGGTAATAATAGGCTCGTGGTCATTGACATCCTCCAGAGTGATAAAAACCTTGGTTAGAAAGCTGGCCTGATCAACATTGTAGGTCGCAGGTGGAGAGGTAGATGCTTGAACGTTATTGCTGGCTTTTATAGTTAACTGGTAGTGCAATGTGCCCTGATAGGTGGGGTTGCTCTTTCTAAAGATAGCACCACTATCAGGATCTACATGGAACATCTCCACGTTGGCAGGATCCGTGAGGTAGGGATCAATCGAATAGAAGACCCGTCCGAACTCACCAGCGTCTGCATCATGAGCTTTGACAGTGACAATTTTCTCGTTAAAAGGCAGATTTTCTGCAACAGTTACGTTGTAAACAGTTTTTTCGAAAATCGGCAGATTGTCATCTGCATCCTCAACTTCAACACGAACAAGAAGTTTGCATTCATGAAGGCCGTCACCAGCCACAACAGTTAGATGATGCAATTTACTGCTTTCGTAATCAAGAGGTCGAAGGAGACCAAGGAATAGCTGTGCATCCTGTTGTCGATAGCCCACGGAATAGGAGCCGCGCATATTGCCTCCTGTTGTTGAATGGACCACATGGAGATGGAAAGTTGCCGAAGGGTCTTCCAATCTTACTTGATTCCACTGAATAGAATGTCCAAGCCTTGCACTATCCGGATCCAGTGGCGAGTTTAATTGAACTCGGGCTTTGTCCACATCAACGTTCTCTTGAATCCGAATCGTCTGCTCTGTAGTGGGTACAAAATAACATCCATTGTCGTTTATGTCACGCAGAGTTATCACCACGTCGGCTATGGCCTCAACACTTCTGCCGACGATTCTGAGACATGTCACGCTGAATCGAAGGATGCATTCGTCATCAGGTTTGTGAGTGGGGAGAGGACAAATCACCTCCCTATCCAAATCAGACGCAACGCTGATTCTACCCGAAAACTTATCCACATTGAAGTACTTCGAGGCATCCTTTGGACTAGGGACTTTATTGTACATCAAACTGCCACTTGGAGAGTGACTATGCGACGCTAATGAGCCTACATGACTTTCTACAGGGACACCTTCATTGATTTCAAACCTAGCGATAAATCCTTTTGAGTGGGGAATGAGGAGCAGAAGGATGACAGTATTGTAAAGAGGAAGAGGAAGGGAATGGATGTTTGAAGTGCGCTTTGATGGTCTCATGCCTAGCTGCGGAGTAGCATAGTGCATGCCAAGGCTTGCAACGCCATTTGAACACGTGTTTTCCGTTGTGGGCGCACACGCGCACGAACGCACAACCAATTAGCGCACGCACAGCTAATCTATCAAGCAATTGGCTACTTCTCACTGTGCAGGTGCGCGCGCGTGTGCGGAGGGGGAAGAGGTGCTGACAGCACAAAACGTAGTGACAAAACATAATGAAAGCACGCTAGTTCATATATCTGTCAGACAGGTGGGGAGGCGCACTTGAAATGGAGCAAATTTATGCTTGTACTGGCACGCATGCATTGTGCTTAAGTAAGCTACACGCCCACTAGACTCGTCTTTAAAATGATCCCTCACTTCATCCTCGGCCAAATTGGGTCTGCTTGATCCTTCGAGCTTACCCAAAGCGCATGTAAATAAGCACTGCTAGTATTTTTTCAGTAAGGTGCTAGTGCTTTGAGCCTTTGACTCAAGTAGGTTTAAAAACAGCATTTACATCCCCCTGCAACAAGTGGTCTCAACTAAATGGAAAAAAAATCATGAATGTTGATCACCACCGATCTCACTGTTTAAGATCAAAGGTTTGATAGTCCCAAATAGGAAATAATGCAGTCATTTTGCATAAAGGTGGAAAAATGTAAGATTATCATGTTGATGGATGGTCAAAAGCCTTAACCAGATTCGAATGAGCATTTAATGTACAAAAATAACGACGCACGTTTCTGTGTTGTGAGCGAGGGGTATCATTCCCAATAAGTCAAACCATGCATCATGATCTAGACTGCAATACTTCCATTTCTTTTAGGGTTAAAAGCGAATTCTTGAGTCCTTAGTTAGTTCTTACATGTTTGATGATTTTGCATTCAAAAGGGTTAAGAAAAATGTTCATATTTGCGTCATTTGGTCAAACTGCTGTACAGCTTTCATTATTTTGATTTTAAGTGACAGCCTAGTAATTCATTTTGTTCACAATGTCAGCAGTGAATGATGGACTAATGGTTTTCCCATTTCGTGCTGCCACAATGAAATGGAGTGTTTGAGTCCGAAAAGGTTACAACAAACATTAGTATACTTTGCAATGGCTCGAGGTGAAAGCCGGCTATGCGAGTTTGGTGGGCTGACAAGCCAAAGAAGTATGGATGGTATGTATACTAACTGTTTGTAAATAACTTTATAAAAATCTTGGGGTAAAATTCCCTTTTCTGAGGACAACTCTGGACTAAGACAGCCTAAAATTCAAAGATTCTCCACTCTCTCATGAACAATGTCAATTAGGGCAGCTATGCAATAAACAGCCAATTATGGGAAGAAGATCAGAAATTAGCAAAACGCAGTACTGAATGTTGCTGTGCAATTTTTTGGATAGCATTTCCAGAATAGCTTTCATAACCACAATGAGTGGCGTTCCTTAATTTCAATTTTATGAGATGCACCGAAAATTGACACCCAATGACGGTCACGTAAAGTTAAATAATTAATTTCAAAAAAATTTACATTAAGCTGCACTATGGACTTATCCGTAATCATTTTTAATTTTTAATTAATCCAATTTTTGACCCGAATGGTCAGGCAGAATCTGTTTGGGGCAGACATTTCCAACAGCTTGAAGGAGGAAAGCATTCGTTACTCACCTTTCTTTTAAGGAAGGAACAAAATAAGCGTGATATACAGTTGCTATGTGTAACTAGGTTACACTTTGAATATTTTGAATGAGTATTACAACTTGTTACAAGACACTTCCCTTAACTCGGTGGTTATGAGAATCGTCATAAAACCATAGGACAACAATTGTTTTCCACAATAGCTTAGTGCTGAAAGCTTCCTAAAGCTAGAAAATGTGCTTTAGCTGCGCTCGCCAGCAGCTCAAACAAAACTATAAGGGGGAAGGGAAATTAGTTGGCAAAGGGAGTACTTTTTATACCAGCTGCCATGAACGTCATTTGTGTCACTTTTTACACACTGCAACATGGATATTTCATCATAATTAACAACCTCTCCAAACTGTCAAAGTGTCATGCATTAAAGCCATGGAATTCAAATGTCCAGGTTTTTTATACAAGTTGTCGACTTATATCATAAGCTTACACTTCCTCCAAACAAATTTATTTACTATTATGTGTAAATGACTGCGTTACATCATCTTTGCATCTGTTCTTATTTCAGCAACCTCCTTTTATCAGAATATAACAACCATCTCGATTTACCACTTACAAGGACCACTCGAAGGAACGCATTATTAAACCGGAAAAAATTAAAGGGGAATATGTAACGGACAACTTTTGCCAGGCTTGGGAACAATTCTTGTGTACTAAGTGGGTCATCGCATCCGTTCCGCCGCCTTCAAACTAGGGACCAATTGTCAGCCTCGCAATGACGAGTTTAGTTGATTGTCGCTCAATTACAACTATAAACGCAATTGAAGGTAAAGAATGGCTCAAAGCGGATGACAGAAACCTCACCGAGGCTAGCACAATTTTTCGCAAGTAAATGTTGAGTTCTTCGATGAACAGAGCAAGTGATAGGTAGAAGGGGATGTCATTTTTAAATTAATTTGACAAAGTACAAAGATAGTGGCAAGAACGGTAAGTTTCGCGAAGTTGATTAATAAAGGCCACTGGAAAAGGAGGCCATCAAGTGTGGCGAATTTTGATCATAGTCACGCCTCCTATTTGTTTTCGTTCCTACTAGAAGAGTGAAGGAGTTCAGAATGCGTTGGCTTTTAATTGTAGGAATTGTAGGTCTTTGTTTTAGTCTTTGAAGGAATTTTCGATTATTATGAATGGCTGACGAATTTCAGAAAATGCAAACATTTTACTCCACACCGCAACTTCAATCCAAACAAACTTCTGCGCTTCGCGGGGACACACAAAGCGAAATCATTGCCTTTGTAGCACTCGGCTAGTGATTTTTTCCTCAATAGGGTAATGCGGTTTAATCAACTAACGACGATAACACACGTCTTTTTTCAAGCCGAAGCATGGAGCACGGGGTGATGAAAGTCCTGTTTGCGTCCTCTGGTCTTCTGGCTACCGACTTGCGGGTATGAGGAGAAATGACTACTCAGAAAGGGAAATAAATTAATATTTTATGGTCTAGAGCGATTGTATGGTTATAACAAAACCGTGTATTACTGGCGGAAGTTTACTCTTGCATTCATTAAACTCCTCCACCAATATAAAGGAGACACCGTGTGTTTCCTCAGATGACAGAATTATGAGCGCCTCGGTATTAGCGAAACGTGCAATGAGCAAATTACTTTGGTGCAAATAAATGAGCTTCAGAAGCAAATTTTTCAGATTTCAGAAAGGGGCAAACATTGACAACCTTTTACTTTGAAAGGGTGGCATGCAAAACCAACCGCTCTCTTATCATGAGTTACTTTCCATCTTTCAGATCAGTCTCCAATAAGTTAGTTAAAACAGTTTATCCAAAATGTATGTATTTTCACCTTCCAAAGTTGGGATCTTTAGAAATCGCAAAGCGCCCAGAATAGTAACCTGATGGCTAGAAATAAAACCAGCCCCTGTATATTTTCGCGCACAGATATAAATGGGGTAATTTATAAATAATAGGAAATCTGAATAGCAATCCAGTGTCGGTTGAAGAGACAGTCCTCCGTCTTATAAAATGTGGCCGGAAATTCGAGTTAAATAGGTCGAGTG